ATATATAAATGACACATATATTGTATTTAAATAGTTCCAATAATTCGATTAATTCGTAGTAATGTTAATAATTAATTCTCAACAAATGAAATAATAAAAAGAAAAATAAGAATGAAAATTAAAAAAAAAAACAATAAAAAGGAAAATGTTTAAAAGATAAGAATTGATCCAAGAATACTTGTGTGGATCTGTTGCGATCTTACGATCATCTATTCATTAAACAACAAACGTACAATAATTATGTAGAGAAAAAATGCGTATATGTGTGTGTGTGAGTGAGTGAGTGAGTGAGTGAGTGAGTAAGTGAGTGAGTGAGTGAGTGAGTAAGTGAGTGAGTGAGTGAGTGCCTGCGGGCTATAATATACAATAGGAAGAAACATCGAGGTCATTTTAAATTCATGGTCGATTTTATAACTTCCTGTGTATATCGAATTATATGTATAGAAACAAAATTAATTAACTAATTAATAATCGCACAGTTTTTTTTAAATATTAAAAGAAAAAAAAGGAAATTCAAGTTAATACATACAATTATTGGACATACATTTAGACATACATATATATATATTTATATTATAGTATATATAATATATAATATAAAATAATATATAATATATATAATAATATGATAAGTACATATAATATATAATATATATATATACAATATTATTATATTATAAATTATATTAAATTATATTAATATTATTATATTATATTAATAATATTGTATATGTAATATATAATATATAATAATATATAAAATATATTATTAGAAGATATACAATTAGAAAATATCAATTTTCACATTCATGTACTGTTCGGTCTCGTTTAATTTCTCGTTTAAGAACGGATATTACGCAATACAATCGTAAGCCACTCTTGGAGATACATATATGTATATGTAAGAAGAATCTAAACTCATATAAGTCGAGGTTGCCATAAGGAATTCTTTAGAACGCGAAACTTAGACTTATGTTTAAGGAATAACGTTATTTCCTAGTGAAACAAGAAAAAAACAAACATTTTCCATGCTTGAAACGATCTGTGTTATCTCATGAGGATTAATAAGAAAATGTTACGTTTGTAGAAAAGAATCTAATAAAAAAAAAAAAAATATTGGTCTCAATAAAAACCTTTTTTTTTTTTATTATTTAATTAGGAATTTTATAAGGTTGACATTTTTCTTGTTTAAAAATAAAAAAAAATAATAACAAAAATTAATAGATAAAAGATAATACATAAGTGACAAAATATTTATAGTACATAAATATATATATATAATTATAATAATATATATTAATATAAAAAATAAATATTAGTATATAAATTAATTATATATTAATTAAATAAATATAATATATAAATAGAACATAATAAAAATATATATTAATATAAATATAAAAGATAAATAAATATATTATTCAAATATATACTAATATATATAAAATATATAACTGCTGCTAACCTGGCCTTTTAGCTCAGTTGGTTAGAGCGTCGTGCTAATAACGCGAAGGTCGCGGGTTCGATCCCCCCAAGGGCCAAAAATTTTTTTTATTTGGTTCCTGAAAATAATATAATATAGAATTTATTTATATCTAACACATAGATTTGGAATGTCTAAGAATAATAAATTATTCAGTTGATTGTTTATTATTTTTGATGGGTTTGAAGCAATGAAATATTTTCTAGTAACTCTGAATATAATCTAGAATAAATAAATATATAATTAATAAAATAAAATATATAATTATATATAATAAATAATAAAAAATAATATATAAAATAAATATATTATATACTATTATCCTATAAAATAATAATATTAAATAAATTAATACAATAAAATACAAAATATACATACATATATTATATTATAAAAAATTATATATAACAAAATAATTATAAAAAATAAATAAATATATATATATATTAATAATAATATAATTATTTATACATATATATAAATAGGGTACTGTGGTTATACGTTGCCGTATCTTTGGTTAGAAAATGGTTATTTAATATAATTCTAAAATTAATAACAACACACAAAATAATACACACAATTAGTAATGGGATACATAAAATAATAATACACGAAAAAAAAAATATAAAAAGCAAGGTTAGGCTATCTCAAATGTTAATCTGAAAAAAAAAACGTAAAATAATTAAATTATGATACATCGTCCATCTATCGACAATTTCCATTACCTAAAGACCAAGAGATAACCTCTAAATAATAAATCCTTAAATTGGCAATAAAAAATATAAAAAAATTCGAGATATATATATATATAAATGTACAATAAATTTGTATTGCTATCCACAAGTATGAAAAAAAAAAAAAATACTACACATCAATTATTCATTTACATTGGCTGATCATTTTGTATATTTATTCACAATAAATTAATTTCTTTTGTTTCAGAAAGGATAAGTGTGCTGAGCCTTTGTTCTGGATTCCCAGGACGAAGTTGTCCGTCCTCGTCCTTAAACAAAATGTCGATTATAATGCAATACGTGGACCGGTTCCACGAGATCTTGGACAAACACGCAGGTACGAACGCGCTTGAACCCATTTCATTTAAAATATATACATGAGTTTAATATACACACATGTACACACATATACACATTTATTTCACAAGAGATATTTAACTTTCAATACGCATCGTAAAACCCTGAAAGAACACGAGGCGTTTTCGTCAGATATTCAAGGTCCTTTCTTTAAGAAATACACCCGGAAATACATTAATAATTTATTCCTCATCAATTGTTTTTTTTTCTTCTATTTTTTTTTGTGATTTATCCAATCAACGATTCCGTGTTTTTTTTTTTTTTTGTAAAAACCAAAAATTCTCAAATTTATTGCCTACTAAAAAATTCTATTCTAAAATGTTATTAGGAAATAAAAAAATTGATGAATTTATGTGACGTTACTTTAAAATACAATTTGCAAATTTGGTTGTCTATTTTACGATTATTTAATTTATTATTATTATTATTATTATTATTATTGTACATTTTTATTTGATCGTTTGTTTTTTTTTTTTCTTTTTTTTAATCATCGATGGAATAATTTAATTCTTTTGCTAAAATCGTTTCCTACGAATGAATTAATAATGATAATTATCTTTTTATCTTCGGGAATCACCCATTATGGAAAGTTTCTATTTAAAATTGTTCAATAATTCTCTTGTGAATAAAAAAAGAAAAGAAATATTGATTATTATTTTAACAAGAATTATATTTTAGAAGAATCCTTCACCATTTTACATGTATAGATAAGTAATGAGAAATATTTGAATAATTATAAAAAAAAATATATATGTATAAAAAAAGGGAGATTGACAGTAGAATACAAAAAAGTGGATAGAGAAAGGAAAAAAAAAAAAGAAAAAATTTGTATAAAATAACAAATCTCGTCACTAAATCATTTACTTAGACGAAGAAATAGAAAATATCATTTGACGTCCATCAAAAAGCAAACTCTTTAAAATTAGTTGTATCCATCATATTTTATAGACTTGTAAAAAAAAAAAAAAAAGAAAAAAAAATCTATGATTTCCTTCAATCAGACATTTATAAATATATTTCTTGTTTATTTCTCACTTGTATTTTTTATTTTTTTATTATTATTATTTTTTTTTTAACAATTAATTTGCACGTAGTTATCAGACATATACATAAAAAAAAAACAACCTACACATTCCAACTAATACTAGACAAGAATAATCATGTTTGTCTCTTGGTAATTTGTAATACGAACAATTGGATAATCAGTCGATGATTTTTTTTTTTTTCTCAACGATTCAAAGTATCAAACTAAGTATCCTATATATATATATGTATATGATTTCTTTATAAAAAAAAAAATAATAATAATAATATATTCGAGGATTATAAAAGACGTGTCAATTACTGCTACTGTGACACGTATTTCCGTTAAGCCAATGCTAGCTAACTCATAAACATAATAATACGCCAATACAGAAAGGAGAAAGAAATAAAAAATAAATTAATGCTAAAATACAAGTGCAAACAAAAAATAAAAATTAAAAAAAAAAAGAAGGAATGAAAACTAATGAATAATAAATACAATTTTACATTAACATACAGTTGTAAAGTATCTACTAATCATTAATTATTACTAACACGTAGTTGTATTACGTGTTAAATATATTAAAAAAAAAAAAAACTAAATAATTACATTTTAAATAGAATCATGTAAATAAGAAATTTTTATTATAGAAAATGAAAAAAAATGATGAAAGATCATTCGATTGACGTTATTGAGTTGTAAACAATTATGTTGTCGAATGTATCTCTTCTTTTTCATACTTTACTTACTTTGTTTATGTCTAAACGAGTTGAGTTGAGTTGAGTTGAGTTGAGTTGAGTTGAGTTGAGTTGTTGAGTGATTTCGATGACAGGACAAGACAGAAAACGTAATACATCAAGGAAACGTGATTTGAATATGCAACGTTCAACGTAAAACGGGGTTGGTTATAAGGAAAATAATTATACGAAATATAAATATATTTTTAATTATGCACACATACACACATACAGACAAATACATACATCCAAATAATATATATAATATAATTTTATAAAATATATACAATATAATACTAAATAACTGGTTGTAGCTCGGTGCTAAGGACACAGATTGTTAACCTTAACTCCGCGAGATCGAATCCTGCCGGTCCGGAAAATAAAATTTTTATATATAATAATATAACATTAATAAAAAATTTTAAAATTATAACATGATATATATAAAATAATAAATATATTATGTATATAATTATAATATTATAATAGTAATAATTATATTATATAGTATTATATTATATAATAATATATATTTGTATAATTAATAGTATGATAAATATTATTACAAGATAATATTAAATTATATATATAATATATTAAATGTAATTTATATTGTATTTATATTTTTAAATAATATATAATATAATATTAATAATATATATATTAACATAATATACATAATGCAATATATAAATATATATTATTATTGTTTACAAATTATACATAAATATATATAAATATTGCACATTATGTATATTACTATAATATAATATATTATTGAAATAATATTAAATTATATTCTATATAATATTATATATATTATGTTAATAAAATATTGTAATAATATTATGTTAATATATATTATTTATTTATAAAATATTGTATTTAAGTGTCTGATTGATTATTATTAAATTATTTATTTTTGTTTGTTTTTTTTTTCTAGACACACGAACGACAAATTGGCTGTTGATGAAATCACCATTTCCCACGTTGTTCATATGTCTCACATACGTTTACATCGTGAAAGTTTTGGGACCAAAACTTATGGAAAATCGAAAACCATTTCAATTGACGAACGTTTTAATATTTTATAATTTATTTCAAGTTATCTTCTCAGCGTGGTTATTCCATGAGGTAAGAATTGTTCTTTTTATTTTTCTCATTTTCTTGTAACTTTTTTGATCCTATATTTATTTATTTTTTCTGTTTTTTTTTTCATTTTCGAGAATAATTTTAACATTTTAATAATAATTGAAAAATTGTTATTTTTCTTTAACCAATCATTATCATCCATTAATTATTTGTTTAAAAAAATATATATATATATATATTTGTAAAAATTGGATTCACGTGGCAAGAACAACACCCAGATGGTTTTAATTATCATTGGTCAGATTGAAATTGAAAACAGACACACACACTCACACACATACACATATTTTGACAGAAATCTACAAGCTGAGTATGTACGTTCTATCGTAAGAAATTAACCCTTATCATTCCAAGAATTGTACAAATTGATTTGTTTGTCCAACTCCAGACGAATTTTTTGTTCATTTTTTATTACATACATTTTATTTATTAAATAATAATATATATAAATATTGAATAAACATTACGAAGAGTCTTACCAAAAACTAAAAAGAATTTATTAATTATTTAATTTCAAATTATGATCATAATAAATCGTAAGTTTCATGTTTAATAATTTGATACAAAAGTTCTAGTAACTTTAACATTATAAATATTACTATTTAACTAAATAAACATAAAATTAAGAAATTATGGTAGTTGGAAACTGGTCCAGTGTTGTATTGGGGTGATAAGTTGGTTAATGAGTTAGAACGGCATAATTTGGTTTATTTTGGAAATACAGTGTCTGATGGGTGGATGGTGGGGCCACTATAGTTTCCGTTGTCAACCAGTGGACTATTCGAACAGCCCAACTGCAGTTAAGGTAAGTTTTATCCCTCCAATCAGCGGATGTTTAAAGTAACTACGTGTGAGAAAAAAAAAACAACAATAAAAAAATATTGAAAAAAAAAATTTCTCAAACGAGTTGATAATTACAAAAGTGTAATACAAAATAATGAATGCATCATCGTTGTAGATAACAGTGTAGTTTCTCATTGGTTCTCATCCGAGTATGCGCTTGGCTGACTGGGACTTGGAAGATGTGGTTGCATTTTCTATTATAACTATTCTTTATTCAAACACAAATACACACACATACACAAATATCATTTCATTTACATTCTTTGTAATTTCTTAGGTAGTGGTGAAGTAAAAGGAAAAAAAAAATGAAAGAGAAAAGTATGAATAAAATAAAATTCTTCTTTTACCCTGACGCAACCCTGACACAATCCTTCTATCCCTCATATTTTATAATATATAGTTTCTTTTATTTATTTATTTATTATTATTATTATTTTATCTTTTCTTCGAGTTCTATTTTAAATTCTATTTGTTATTTTTTATTTGATTTTTTTTTTTGTAAATCGAGGGGTTATAGAAAATTTGTGTTGAAATTGTAATTTGGTTACCTTTATTGTTGCCTATTGACGGTTGTGGTTACAGATAGGAATGTCCGGATGGCTGACTGGAGAATATTCTCTAACGTGTCAACCAGTAGACTACAGTGAACGACCTCAAGTACTAAGGGTGAGAGGTCTTGGCTCCCTATTAACCCATTCTTAATACTTATATGCTGATCAAAAATTATATTGATTTTATTCCCATATATATATGGGAATAAAATCAATATAATTTATATATATATATGTTAAAACAAAGTATCAATAGTATTAACCTACTGACTGTTACGTATTTTTATACAGAAACTAATAATTAAAATAATTATATATATAATTATACAAAAAAAAAATATACATATTAATATACAGAATATGACGAATATATACGTAAAGTAAATAATTATGTTGAAAAATACATTTTGAGACTAGTTTTTTGATAAGTCATTTTTGTTACACGCGCGTGGATACTTTAAATATTATAATTTACAGAATTATTTGTTTATTTTGTAATGTTTAACTTTAAGAAGTATTGGGTTGTTCGGAATGTTCGTGCCAATTTTTAATAGGTGGCATAACATTTTTTTTTACTGAAAAACCTGAAAAATTTTGGTAGGATGAAATTTTGAGGTTATCCATAAAGATGGCGTAAAGTTTTGGAACAGATTGATACTTAAATACGTTGGGTTTTAATCTTCTGTCTAAATGGTCACGAATTTTCCGAACAATTCAATATTTACTGTATTTTTATCTGTACAATTCATTTTCTAAAGTATTATTCTGTTACACACTGTATATTCCATTCGTACAAGGTCTTGCAATTATTTATAAAATAAATTTAATATTTGTTCGAAATGAAAAAGTATTAAATTGAATTAAACACAAATTAATTGAATTAAAATTAAATTAAAAACCATGGATCAGCATATAAAACCATTTGAAATTCTTTACGTTGATATCCATTTTCCTATCCGACGTTATTATTGTTTTTTTTTTTATTTATTTAATAAATACATTCTCTTTTATACGTAGTAGAAATATATTAATATAATCATTCATCGTAGTAACAAATATTTATTTATCTTTAACAGTATATGGAATGAAATTGAAATAATTCTATTTGAAAATCGATGTTAACGAATATTTTTAATGTAACTAACCAAAATCATTTGAATTAGCAATTAATTGGGTTATTAAATTTGGTTTATTTTCATCAAATAATTATATTGGGTTGTGTCCAAAAAGTTCGTGCCAATTTTGATGAAAAATTGAAATGTTTTGCAATTGAAGTTTTTTTTTTTTTTTTTTTTNTTTTAATTAAATTATATATAAGTGCCATTCTGTTTCACAATCTTTCTCCATCTTTAAGGATAACCTTCAAAATTTCCTCTCCTTCCAAAACTTTTCAGGTTTTTTTTTTAGCAAAAGAACTTTAATGCCATCTATCGGAAATCGACACGAACTTTTCGAACAATCTAATAGAAACTATTTCTGTGAATAAATAAATGATACAAATTTTATTTTTATTAAATATTATTATTAATTAAAATACCAAATTAATTGCTATTACCTATAATATTTATATTTTTAAATAGAGAATGAAATGAATAAATAAATAAATAAAACAAGTAGTAGTAGTAGTAGTAGTAGTAGTAGTAGTAGTAGTAGTAGTAAGTAGTAGTAATTAAAAAAAAATAGAGTAGAGTAATCCTAATAGATAATCATATTTATTTATATAACATTTTACCATAACTTATCATCAAATTAAAAGTAGTGGAAGTATTTCAGTAAATAAGCTTTATGTTTGCTCGTACAATATTTTTCACCAATCAACTTCCATCATATTTTTTGTTTAAATTTTCATTAAACATTCCATGAAACGTAGAATATATTTATACGACTAATTTGTTTTACATCGTAATGTAATACGATTTTGTTTTTCTTTTTCTTTTTAATAAGTTTGCCAAATTAAAAGATTTAACTAGAAAAAGAAAAAAAAACATGGCGGAATGTTGAGTTTGTTTATTAATCTTTTATATAATTCAGGAATGGCTAAACTTTATTTTTATTTAACCCAATATATTGATTCTAAATAATTAAATTTTTTTCCCCCAATAAATTATTCTGTTATTTGCCACTGCTGTTATAATTGATGAAAAAAGTAAAAAAAAAAAAAAATAAATGAATATCAATTAATATTTCGATGATCTTAGATGGTGCACGCCAGTTGGTGGTATTACTTTTCTAAATTTACGGAGTTTATGGACACGGTAAGTTAAAAAACAATCTTATTGAATAAATAATAATACAAAATGATAATTAAATATTATTATTTTACAGATCTTTTTTGTATTAAGAAAGAAGAACAACCATGTGTCAACTCTTCACGTTATTCATCACGGTTGTATGCCAATGTCCGTATGGTTTGGCGTTAAATTTACTCCTGGTATGTCAAAAGAGAAAGTAATGTATGTGTTTATGTGTGAGTTTGTAAAAGAAAGAAAGAAAGAAAGAAAGAAATGTATAAAATTAAATATAAAATGCATTTAATTAATATAAAAATATTCTAATATATAAAAATCATTGTTTCCAGGTGGTCATTCAACATTCTTTGGATTATTAAACACATTCGTACATATAATAATGTACACATATTACTTGTTAGCCGCATTAGGACCAAAAATTCAACCATACCTCTGGTGGAAAAAATACCTAACGGCATTCCAAATGATTCAATTCATAGCAATAATGATACACGCTTTCCAATTGCTCTTCATCGATTGCGATTATCCAAAAGCTTTCGTATGGTGGATCGGTATGCATGCAGTTATGTTCCTCTTCCTCTTCAAAGAATTTTATCAACAAAATTATCAACAAAGAAAATCAGCTAAAAAATTAACAACAAAAACAACAACAACAACACCATCAACAGCATCAACAACAACGACAACGAGAAGTAATGGAAGTATTGCTAATGGAAAAACCAATGGTGTTATCACGAATGGTAATACTGAGAGCAATGGAACGATAAGAAGGGATGCTGCAGATTATTATGTTAAGGGAGAAAGTTTAGCAGCTAGGGAATTTAATTTTAGAAAAGGTTACGTATTTAACGAGTGACCCATGCAAAAATATCATCGTTCTTTTCAACGTTGTTATTTCTTCTATTATTATTATTATTATTATTATTATTATTATTATTATTATTATTATTATTATTATTATTATTTTTCTTCTTCTTCTTCTTCTTCTTCCTCTTCTTCTTCTTCTTCCTCTTCTTCTTCTTCTTCTTCTTCTTCTTCTTTGTCACCAAATGCCTTTAGGTATTACTCGCATCGAGAGCTCGTTAAACCACCACAATCTCAAACGTGGAAATCGTACTATTATATCTTTCGCACTTAACGTTATATTTTATTTTTTATTTTTATTATTATTATTATTATTATTTTTTGTATGTCTCCTCCCTTATCGTTACATATATATAATCTCTCTCTCTTCCTCTCTCTCTCTCTCTGAATCTCTTTCTTTTTCCATATTATTAATCCTAATATTCCTTATAAGATCTTCCTCTTAGATAAATTTCTATAAAAAATATTAAAAAAAAAAAAACTCATTTTTATTAAGCCAATCAACACACACATACACACACAAGCTTCCATGTATTTCCTGTTCTTCTTCTTCTCCTTCTGCTGTTGTTGTTGTTGTTGTTGTTGTTGTTGGGCTATCGTGTGTACCTTTATTATTATTATTATTATTATTATTATTATTATTATTATTATTATTATAAATCGTGCGTAAAAAATAATTAAAAAAAAAAAATTAAAAAAAAAATAGAAAAGAAAAACCCCCCTCCAAAAAAAAAACAATTAAAGAGAAGAACTTTGAAATAATTAGAAGAAAAAAAAACAAAAAAAATATCTCTTTTCTTCCTTCTCTTTTTACAAAATCAAAATGATAATAATTAATTGGATATATTGTTAAAACAACAAAAAAAAGGAAAAGAGAGAGAGATAGATAAGTTTCCGTATCTCTTAAGAATACTTTACCGCAAGAACCTTTCGCTAATTTAAAGAAATCGTGACGATTGGAAAAAGAAAACTGATGTCTCCCCCTCG